CGAGGAGTGGCTGGTGGGTTTGAACCGCCAGCCATCTGGTTAGCAGGCAAGTGTCTTAGCCACTATGCTACCAGGGGTGGGAGGTAGGAGGCAGAAAAGAGAAACGAAATGTTGAGAGAAATTCCATTTGGCACATAAACTCCTTTTATACTAGATTCAGTCATACTTGTAACAATCATACTGTAATACAGACTTTGAAGATGTTGGATAAATATGGTAAACAAAGAAACAAAGGAATGGATAGATACAATAAAATGGTGGCCAAATAAAAATATGCATAGTTTCATGTTAAACTAAATATGCCTGTGTACCAAAGGGAATGAGAATGGAGTTAGGATAATGAGGGCCCCCATAAAGATGTGGATTAGCTAGCTCATCAGTGGTTTGGTGGGAGAATTCTCACCTCCCATACAGGTGACCTGGATTCCATTCCTGGCCAATGCACCTCATACATACCACCACCTGCTGTCAGTGGAAGCTTGCATGTTGCTCTAATGATTTAAGCAGCTTCCAGACTAAGGCAGACTAGGAAGAAAGGCCTGGCTAGCTACTTCCAGAAATCAGCCAGTGGAAACCCTATGAATCACACTGGTCTGGTCCAGAACTGACCATGCAGGTGGCACAGGACCGTGCATCATTTCTATCCATTGTGCATGGGGTCACCATGAGTCAGGAACCAACTCTCTACAGCAGCTAACCACAACAAAGCATAAAGATTTGGGGCTAGCAAACGGACCCAACTGCCCATCACCTACCTCCCAAAGGAGAAGAGGCACATGAAAAAGATGGCACTGGCAAAAGCTTCAGGGTCAAAGTTACCTCTCAGGATGTCAATCACCCGACCAGAATAGAGAGGAATGATCATCTCACCTGAAAACCGCAGGAAGGACAATAGATGAATGTGCTAGTGCCAGAGCCTTTTCCCACCTCCAACTCTTCATGCCCTCTTCCTACTCACCCACCACCGCTATAACAAGGAAGAAGAAGGCGGCAATGAGGAAAGGCAGGTCTGGCCTGGAGAGCTTCAGTAGCCGCCACATCAGTTGTTTGTTTTCCTGGCCCTGCTTCCTCTCCTGGGCTGACGCCTGGGCTCCTGGAAAGCTCAGAATGGCCCACACTGCCCAGCTTAGTGCTGTAGCCCCATAGCTGGCCAGCAGCCAGCTCCAAGGGGCTGAAGCCACTCTGACTGGGGGTGCACTCAAGGCCCCTGGGACCAGGGCCCTCAGCGACAGAAACAGGGGCATCACCAGGCAGAGCAGGGGTAGCAGTGTCACTCCGAAGTCCAGCAACGCTCCCAGCTTTAGTAGCTTCCACAGCCCTCCAAGTCTTAGGACCCCCTCTAGCCATAGGCCTGGAAGACCTCCAGGAAGCAGAGCTCCCAGAGTCCCCTGAAGCAGCCACAGTAACGCCAAGTCCAGCAGCCACAGGCAGACCCAGGGTCTCAGGTGAGAGAGCGGCATGGCGCTATCTGTGAGGATAAACCAAAAGAAAAAAAAAAAAAAAAAAGTCTGACTCATGGCAAGCCCATGTGTTACAGAGTTAAAACTGCGCTCTATGGGGTTATCTGGCTTGGAATCTTTATATAAACTGAATGGATTCATACTGCCAACCTTTCGTTAGCAACCAAGTACAAAACGTTTGGCCCAGCCAGGGAAAAGGTGAGAAATTAGAGAATTAGAGTCTCAATCTTTGTCCCTATTCCTCATCCCACCCCACTCAACCCATCGTTTGAAAGTTCCCCGCCCCATACACCGTGCTCGTCAGTACATGCCTCCTACTACAGAGGGTCATGCTGCCTGCCAAGGGAGAAGGGAAGCGAGATCATCAAGAATCTTGTCCATTAAAAAAAAACAAAACACCTAACTTATCCCTGACACCCCTCCCCCACCCCAACCTCCACCTGCCACCATCGAGTTCCAAATAATCTGGCGACCCCTGCTCCAAAGCCCTTCCACTCCCGGAGATCCAGAGGGTCGGGACCACGGCGCGGGGACGGGGTGGTGAGTTGGGATGCGTTCCCGGCGGCGCTCCAGTTTTCTATCCCCACAAACTCACCAGATGCAGCTTGGGAGCTGCCACTTCGGAGGTCTTTGGTCAGGCTCTGAATACTGAGCTCTGGACTCGGGCTCCAGCTGCACCTACTTGGTTTTGCCCTAATCAGGTAGCGCCGGTCTTCAAGACAGAGCGCCTCGGCTTGAGCCGCTTTCGCTTTCGCTTCCTCCGCCCTGCCTCCGTTCAGGGCGTGGCAGCCAACAGGGGGCGCGCGAGCCCGTCTGACTACCTACCCAGCCAGGCTTGCAAAGTCGTTGGCGTTTGCCACTCCCATATTGAATCTCACCTTTAGCAGCAGTTACTCTGTATTACAAAACTAATTTTTTAAGTTTTCATTATTATTATTTAAAGTTTTAAGAATTATCATTAGGGAAACTAATCTATTTGGAGAATTGAGATTCTTTATGATTGGAGAACCACTGGATTTTGCCAGTTACTCCCTTAAGGTCTGAATCTGTTTTAAGAACTGCCCCGTTTCCCTGTCATATCTCCAGTTTTAGAGTGAGGTAAAAACAAAACCAGATTCTGAGTGAGGAATACGAAAGACTTGTGAAAGCTGTAGTCATTCTCATCAGGGCCTAAGGGTATTTCCAGTTACAGATTCTGAGTTTAGGCGGCCCTGACCCTTTATCCTCATTCTCTTTCTCACACCAACCACCTGAGCACCTGCTCAGAAGCTGTAAATTTGTACCCCAAATTATGTTAAGAGCATCTTTAGTATGTGAGGGAAATGCCAAGCAATGGACTTTGTATCTTGGTCTACTTTAAAATTGATTAGAACAGGCTTTGTGGGTCCTGAGTGATCCAGAGCCCATCTATGGAACATGCAAATTTGTTTATTTCAGAAAGAACTCTTAGGTTGAAACTACCTTTCACTTAAAAAGGGGACTGGGGGAAGGGAAGAGAGAGAGAAGATCACTTGGGTTCCAAACCACCCTTTTAAAATGCTACTGGCCTTAGGCATTTGACCTCTAACCGGAAGTTTGGCGGTTCAAACCCACCAGCCACTCAGCAGAAGGAAGACTGGAAAATCTACTTCTGTAAAGATTTACTACCTCAGAAAACCAGTGGGGGTTGCTATGAGTGGGAATCGACTCGATGCCAATGAGTTTGGGTTTGGTTGGTGTGAATTAAAGTTTAAAGTAAGTGGGAGGGTATTTGAAGTAAGGGACTGCTGAAATTGCTGCAATTCTACACATTTCTGTGGTTGTAAAAATCTCTAATAGAAAAATAACTCCACACTCAGCTGCTTTCTGCCTTCAGGCTTTTACCTTGACTAACTCTCCTCAGAGAGGTGCAATCTTCCTGTAGCTCCAAACACAATTTGGAAAAAATCCTGTATGTCCTTCTTTTTTCTAACCTTGTTCTTTCACTTTTCCCTCATATTCCCCACTTCAGAGAGTCCTCCTTTTCTCTTCTTCCTCCTCAGTCATGGTTCTGTCATCTTGCAATGAAGTGTGACACATCATGAAACTGAACCCCTAATGTCCATCTTCACATTCAGTATTCAGTATCTCTAATTGCTAAATCAAAAAACGAAACCCATTGCCATCCATTTCAATTCTGGCACACAGTGACCCTACAGGGCAGAGTAGAACTGCCCCACAGGATTTCCAAGGCTGTATATCTTTACAGAAGCAGACTGCCTCATCTTTCTCCTCAGAGCATCTGGTGGGTTTGCACTGCCGTTCTTCTGGTTAGTAGCCAAGCACTTTAACCACTGTGTTACCAAGGGTCCTCTCTAAGTGCTACTTGGAGTAAATGGTAAATTGTTTACAATTACTGCACACATGTTGAAGTTTTTTCATTTCCTTCTGCAAAGTCAAAAGCAGTTATTGTAGGTGCCTACTCCCAAACACCCAAACCAGTAGTAACGGACAACACAGGAGTCTTTTTATTTTTTTATTTCCTGCTCTCCCACCCACACCTAAAAACCACAGTCCCAATCACACTCAGCCACCATAGAGTCATTTATAACTGTTTTCCTTTATTGTGCTTAATGAGACACCAGAAGGTGTCGGGTGGGGGCAGGGTGCTCTTTGAAATAAAGAGCACACAAAAGGACGAACTCTGCCAGGTCCCACTAGCCAACTAGCCAATTTTTCTGGGCTCAGGTTAGGCTCCGACTTCTTGGGCTTAAGCTAGCCCAGTTCCCTGAGTCGGCCATGCTCTTCCAGAAGAGAAAAGACCTGCCTAGCCACCGCCATCATTACTGATTGGTCTCCCAGTACTGGTACATCAGATCACTGACATCTGTACTTTCCACTTTTACCCAACCATCTTCCTTCATGTGGTATACTGTGGACAAATGGGAAAAGAACACAGAGTCACCTTCCACTTCAGCACATCCCTATTAATGATGCTATGTTAAAGGTATCAATAACATACACACACACAAAGCCCTTATTACTGGGACTTCAATACCCCTCTTCTGACTCTGAAAATCTCTTCCCACTCTGCCCTCCCCTCCACCCCCGAGTCTCCCAGTCTTAATCTTCTCCCCTTCCCACCCTCTAAGGAATGGTGGTGATAGCATTGATCTCTTACTATTGACAACTCCTCCAGAATAGCTGTCACGGTGAGTGGCATGAACAATAGCCCTGCGGCCAAGGTCATAGGCCTCTTCAACACTAAGATTAGGCCGATAGCCACTGTCCATGACCCCGTAGGCATAAACATTTCCACTACCAGTGGAGAACATATTTCCTGAGAGCCGAGTCCCATTTCCATCCACATAGTAAAGTCCAGGACCCTATAGGATGAAAGAAAGTTCCAGGTTGAAATTGGCCAAGGAGGTGTTGGTAACATAGAGGTTCAAGTGTGAACAATAAAAAGTGTGCCAAAGAACCAATATTTGAACATTGAACAGGAACATTTGAATGGAGTATAGCACTTTGGTAACAATCACAAAACTTTGGAAATAAAAAAAGTAAAAGCACAGAATCAAAGAGACATGCTTATTGAAACACATACTTATTTGGTCCACATCTGGGCCAAGACATGGAACAGTTCTGCAACCAAGTATTTTATATGTCATTGAGTCTTGTGGATGAGGTATTGGGGTCTACAATGGAGAAAAAAGATCTCTCACCCATGGGTGGGGGAACATGAGGAATGGAGAGCACCCATCTTCCTTTTTTTTTTTTTTAATTGTACTTTGGGTGCAAATTTACAGAGAGAAATTTGTTTTATATTCAACAGTTTGTGTACATCTGATTTCACACCCCAATTACCATCCCAGACCATAATGCACTCTCCTCCCCTCCCATCCCTGGGACCACCCTCTCCCTGTGCCCTTCTTAATTATGCACTCCTGTCTGTCCAGCTTTCCCTCTGCACCCACCTTCTTGTCCCAGCCACAGATCATGCAGCCCATGGAGAGGCCCATGCCTCGGTACTGGCATGTCATGTTAGAAAGCAGTTTGGAGGCCGCTGACACTGAGATGCGCTTCCCATTCCGCAGGTAGTACAGCCTGAGTGAGGACGGCAGGGAGAACTTACAGAGGCAGGGGGAGGTTAACTCTCTGAGTAGACCATTTGTTGGGGCAGGAAATGATTGGCGAGATAAGCATTTGAAAGGAATTATCTTCTGGTGGTACTGTAGTTAAGGCATTTGGCTGCTAACCAGAAGGTTGCTGGTTCAAACCCACCAGTTGCTCCATAAGAGAAAGATGAGGCAGTCTGCTTCCAAAAAGATTTACAGCCTTAGAAACCCTATGCATTCGGTATGGGAATTGACCCAATGACAGTGAGTTTGGTTTGATTTTTAAGAATCAGGGAGATATTTGAAATTTAAAGTACCTACAGCATACGTGTGCACACACACACACACACACACACACACTTCTAACAAATGACACTTCCCACCAGAGTTGTCAGTGATAAAGTAATTGGCCGAATTAACTGCCTTATTAGCAGGAGCACAAGCTGAGATTTGGGAAGGGGGTTTGTAGCACCAAAAGGCTGTTTTGTGAAATACTACATTCGCACCAGTGAGAAACATAGGGGAAAGTTTGTGAAGCAGTGATCTGGAGTATGTGGGGGGTTGAGCCTTTAGGGCAGGTCTTGAAGCAACAACCTAGGGGTGTAGGCATAGAAGAAGCACCAAGGAGAGGGCGCAGTCTCTGAAATTTTCACCTCATAGGGCGTCTCTCCATTCAATGGTCTCCCTAACCTGTAGCCACCCACGAGAACCTATAGTTTTGACCAGTAAGCTTAGAAAGGGAGGGGAGAGGCCCTGCTCACCTGCACTCCTTGGCCAACAGACGCTCCCAGTACTGACAGTCAGCCGCACAGCCAGACATGGTGCCAAGTAGGTATGGGTTAATCTCAATCACCTTGTTCACCCGCAAGGTGGCTGGAAGAAAACAGAGTTTTGAGAGAGGTATAATAGTCTCACAACTCTCCCTGTGTGTCCTAAATCAATTATCAATTTCCAGTTTGGTACAGATGTTGACCTCCTGCTGAGAGGAGCCCAGCAGCTGCCTGCTGGAACACATGCACTCACCAATGTAACTCCCAGAAGTGGCCCGGGAATCCACCGCCACAATCACTCCATGCTGGAACTTGAAGGCCAATGTGGTGGTGCCATGGGCCATCTCAATCTGAATGTTCTTTTCTCTGTCCCCATCCAGGGACCGGAAGAATTCAGTGGGCTAATGAAAGAAAAGAGTAGAGAATGGGGCACTGAAAAATTTTTGCAGGAAGTGTTGTAGAGAATATGGGGGTAAGGAGAGATGGAGAAGTTCCCCAACCATCAATAAATATAAGCGTTAATAACTAATCTCTAGGAGGAAATGGCTTGGGAGAGGGAATAGAAGAGGCACATGACACCAATCTTTTCCATTTCCCAGTGCAACAGAAATGAAAGCGAGTAAATGCTACCATCACTAAGAATTTAAGGATGAGTTTAATGTTTTTCCCATTCATACCTCATTTAACTATCAATAGCATCCCCATTGTACAGAAGAGGGATCTGAAGACTAGATTGAATAAGTGACTTAATCCAAGTCACACAAAAATGAGTTGCTGAGGAGAGGCCAGGCAAGTTGCCAAAGTGCATAGGTTTTCCAAGACATACGATAAGCCAGAGAAAAGGGCTTCGCACAGATTTCCGTGCGGTGGCAAAAAAGCAAGGAGCCTTGTCTTCCACTGGGAGCCCCCACCTCATATCTAAGTGTCCGACTGGACGGCACATAACAACAACAACAACATCCATCCCCAAACCTGCATTTCCAGAGCCTCAGTCGATCAGCTCCCCAGCCCCACGTGGTTTCTTCCGAGGGTCGGAGCCTGGATGCTGCACTCTGGGTCCAAAGGACGCCCCATGCGCGAGCCCAGCTGCGGGGCAGTCCTAATGCAGCCCCTCCATTCTTCTGCGTCCCCCTCCTGGCTTTCCCTCGGGGTTCCCAAACAGCCCCAACCTGCATTCCCCGGGGGAGGGCGAGCTCCGGCGATCGCATTGAGAAACTATAGTGTCCTGGGTCTGAGCAGTGCCTGGTTCCCGAGCCGGGGAGAGCCCAGTCTTCGTGCTGCCCTCGGGGGACTCCGCACACCTCCAGGAGCGCCATGATCTCCAGCGCCAGAGATCAGTCGGCTTTCGGGAGGAGGAAGTGAAAGCGAAAGCCTCAGTCCGAAGGGGAGGGAACCAGAATATTTTTTTCCCCCACATCCCTCTGCCCTTTTCAAAAAGAGACCAGTGGGTGTCTAGTGGCCAGGAATATCACGTTGGAGACAGGCTTCTGTACTCTGGCTTCATGGAGGTTGAGGACTGTGAGAGGAAAGGAGGAAAGGGAGGGGGAAGAAAAGGGTTACAATGAGAGAATGCTACAGGTTGGATAGTCTCTGAATGAAAACGGTTAAGGTCTATCCTCTAAAGGCACAGCTTCAACCAGAAAGCTGGAAGTCTGCAGGTGGCCAGGCACAATTTCATGGGGGGGGGGGGGAGGAGGGACCCTAAGATAATCCTTTCATAGAAGGAAGGGAAGGGTAGGAGTATGTGGGGACTTGAGCCTCAAGGGTAGGTCTTGAAGCAACCCAAGGGCGTAGGTGCAAAGGAAGTACCAAGGAGAGGGCACAATCTCTGAGTGAATTTTTCATCTCATAGGCTGTCTCCCCATTCAATTGTCTCCCTAACCTGTAGCTACCCACAAGAACCTGCCCTTTCTGCCAGTCCTATCCCGTGTATGAGTGAGTGCACTGGTGAATGAGTTCACTCCTCTAAACTCCGCCTTTCCATGCAACCTGCATTGGCCTAATCTGCCCAGAAACTGTTAACATCACACATGACACAGGTATGGTCCTCCCTGAATGGAAGATGTATGAAGCCACACCTTCTATTCTGAGATTACCCTAGCAGATGCTGTTACTGCCCCCCCACCCCCACCCCCCACAGGGTGAGTACTGATAGAACCAAAGCTGTGGCCCAGAGGTGGTGAAGAAGGACGAGGCCTCACTTGCCCAACATCTTCCACCTCAGAAAGTTGACAGTTCTGAGCTGCAGCTGCTAGTATTCTGGAGGTCTCTGGAAGCCTGGCTCTTCTTTAGGGAGTGGCAAGAAGGGAGACATAAAAAACCAAAACACCCAAACTCACTGCTGTCGAGTCAGATCTGACTCACAGCGACCCCTCCTTGGGTTTCCAATGCAGTATCTCTAAGGAGGTAGATTGCCCAGTCTTTCTTCCAAGGAGTGGCTGGTGGGTTTGAACCTCCAGCCTTTTGGTTAGCAGGCAAATGCCTTAGGAAATAGAAAACTTAAGGGAGAAGATGGTGCATGTAGGGCTGTGAAACTTTGAGGGTGCTAAGGGAGAGAGACAAGAGGCCCCTGAAAAGTGTGCTACAAAAGCCATTGAGTCTTTAGGTGCACCAGAAACCACCAGAAACCATAGTACAAAATACACATTTTATTATAAATATCAAGAATTGATAGGTTATTTGTAGGTTAGCATAATGCCTGTGGCCATATTAGAAAGAACCTGATTTCCCCATTCTGTATATTCTCCATGTTCCATTGTCAGAGTGCTATCCACACCAAAGCATTAATCCTTGCTCTCAGCCAAGTGACTTTAAGGTGTAATAAACTCTGTGTTCATGGACCAGAAAATCTGCATATCGAGAGGTGCTTGGACAACAAAATACATAAAAATCTTGTTCCACAACTTACTTTGGTGAGTAGCAACTGGGGTTTTAAAAGCTTTTGAGCAGTCATCTAAGATGCAGCTAATGGTCTCCTATCATCGGAAGTGAAGAAGAGTGCAAAAAAACAAGGGCATTTGGAAGCAATTAGCCCTAGGATATGATGGACCTTTAGACCAGAACAACTAGATGGTGCCCAGCTACCAATGCCAACCACTCGGGAAAGGATCAAAACTGGAGATCCTGGATAGAGTGGAAGGAAAAATGTGGAACAAAATCCAAAAACACAGTAACAACCAGAATTACTGGTCAGATGGAGTCTGGTGAGACCCCAAGACTATGGTCTTGTGATATACTTTGGGCCTGGAATAGGACTCGCTCCCCAGCACTGGCTCTCAGCGCGATAGTAAATAAGACATACATGCAGATCACCCAACCCAGAGTGACGCATCCACATATTCTATGGAGATGCATCCTTTGGAGCAATCAACCACGGGGCACCAGAGGGGCAATATTCACAGGGAGGAAATGCAGGACACACAAGAGTGCATAACTATGAGGTGCACGGGGGAGGGTGGTTTCTGGGAAGGGAGAGGAGAGTGGGTTAGGGCTGGGGATGGATGGTAATTGGGGAGTGAAACCAAATGTACACGAAACGTTGAATGTAAAACAAACTCTGCTCTGTCAACTTGCACCTAAAGCACAATTAAAAAAAAATAAATAAAAAGATGCTTGGAGAGAAAAATGAGGTAACACTCATGGCAGAATTTCAGGCATCTTCAAGGGGATTACATTTTAGGGTGTGATTCCTTCTAGAAGCAGCTGCCTACTCTGCCACTGGTAAGATATTTTTGGTTCCCAAATTCTCTGCTAGGAAGAGGAGGAAGGGGAAAAAAGGAGGAAGATGGAGTGTGCAGGTCCCAGAAGTTTCTCATTCCAAAGCACCTGGCCCCACAGGGGCCTGCACCATGGTCCAGTAATGTCCTTTGTCCTCCATGAGCTGCTGGTGGCTTCCCGCCTCGCAGATAATGCCCCCTTCCAGAAAGAGGATTTGGTTAGCTTGCTCCACCAAGCTCAGACGCTGAGTGATGAGAAGCACAGACCGAGAGCACCGCTGGGGGCTATTGTAAATAAGCTGCTTCACCTGAGAAAAGACAAGGACTCTGTCAGAGCTGAGGATCACTCCCAAGAAAGATAGTTGTGCTTCCAGGGCTGGCACAGTCTGCAGCAGCGTCACTGCCACCTCTGGCAGCAAACCTGAGGAGACCGAAGGATCCTGTTCTGAGTGCTACTCAGCCAAATCTTTATTTTGTTAAGGAGTATTGACATGAGATGGCAAAAATGGGATAAACCCACAGAAGAGTTGTTGTTGTCGCTGGTATGTGCTGTCGAGTCGGACCCGACTCGTAACGACCCCTCCTTGGGTTTCCAAGGCGGTATCACTATGGAAGTAGATTGCCCAACCTTTGTGCTGAGGAGTAGCTGGTGGGTTTGAACCGCCAGCCCTCTGGTTAGCAGTCAAGTGCCTTAGGCACTAGGCCACCAGAGCTCCTCAGGAGAAGAGTGAAGGGTACTTAATAGTCTGTCTTCTATTCATGAACTGGGAATTTTTAAAGTTCCATTTTAAATAAATATAATTTAGTGGTAAAGAACATGAGCATTTACATCCAGCAGACCTGAATTTTGGTCCAGGTTCTGCTGTTCAGCAGCTGTATAACCTTGAGCATGTTATTCAATCTTTCGTAGTCTCCATTTTGCCATCTACATAATGACAGCCAGATCACAAGGATTTATAATGAATAAATGAGTGCTGTAGTATATGTAAAGGGCCCACTATCATTTCTGGCACCTATTAAAAGCTCAATTAATTTTAGTTACTATTACTAGGACAGTCTTTTCTTATTCTTGGCTTCAGAGATTCAGCATCAGTAGACAGTCTCCTTTAACTGGTTCTAGGTGTCCTGAGGAAAGGCTAAAAGGTGATCTAGAGAGGCTAAGGGGGATAAGAAGATTGCCAAGACTGAGTTGATAATTATGCTGTTACCATGACTAACATGGGATGAGTAAAGCAAGAAAGATTGGTGGGACATAGACATTAAGAAATTGACACTCTTACCCGTGACTGATTGTCTGCATCCAGGGCACTGGTAGCATCATCCAGGATGAGTACCTGTGGTTTCCGGATCAAGGCTCGGGCCAAAGCCACTGCCTGCCGCTGACCTCCTGATAACTGGCTCCCAGCCTCACCCACCTCTGCAGAGACAAGAGCCAAGGTGAGAGTTGAAGAACTACATTTGTGTACACATGCAAGCGTGCACACAAACACATACGCACCAAGGACTAACAGATGCATCTAAATAAGGGAGGCTTGGGGAAAGTAAATGAAGTTTTTAGAATGACAGAGCAATAGGGATAGGATCTTGTTATTACTTCAAATTTGGGGCAGGAGGAACTAAAAAATGCAAGTTTCAGTAGAGGGGAGTTTCAGTAAAGGTAATGGCAATTGAGGATTGAGATGAATGGAGAGAGTACCTGTGTTGTAGCCTTGAGGGAGTTCAGAGATGAAACTATGGGCTCCAGACTCCTTTGCAGCAGCTATGATTTCCTCCACATCTGGCTCCTGGGTCATGCCATAGGCAATATTTTCCCGAACACTTCTTCCAAAGAGCTGCGGCTCTTGTCCCACTGCAGCCACCTGGGATAAAATATGATGAATATTCACATCAAGGAATGGCGGAGGATGTTTACCTTGGGAATTGAAGAGTCAAAATTTGGATTGAGAGTATGTTACAAAATCACACATTCTCTCTCCTGATGATACCCCTATCCCACCCAAGGTCTTCTACCATTCATTAACCCTCCTTTCAGAGTGCTCATTAAGAATGCTATTCTTACTTGATGTTCCCCATTCTCCCCATGTCACATTCTTTCTTACCCGTCTGTGCAGGTAGCGGTGCTCGTATTGGGGAAGGGGCTCCCCATCCAGCAGCACCAGGCCCCCTGTGGGCTGGTACAGATTCTGCAGCAGGGCAGCCACTGTGCTCTTCCCAGACCCACTGGGACCCACCAGTGCAGTCACCTCACCCGGGCAAAGGGTAAACGTCAGCCCCTGGACACCAAAGAGTCATACAATGAGACTGAAGCCCCTATCATTGTCTATCATTGTCTTGACTATCATTGTCATGTTACATAACATGATGCTTTACCCTAGAGAAGAAAGGAGAAAAATGGTAATATACAACAACTCTCTGAAGAATAGAGAGAGAGTATGAGGCAAAGACAAGGGCAAAATGGAACACTACTATGCCACACATATCAGATACAGGAAAGAAAGAAGAGTGGAGACACAGATTTTGCTGTAGCAATTCCTTGTGATGCAAGAGCCTTCTTCCTGAGAACCTCCTCTTCTACTCTTATTGGAAGCCCAGACTGGTTATTGAGTTTAAGGAAGCTTTGTAGAGCAGATGATGATCTTTGCCTTTGAAGGGTTAGGAGGATCTGTGCTTGGTGTTAAGTAGGCTGATGGCAGGAAGAATATTTAGGACAGTAGAGATGTTGAGATGTTAGAGTAGAGATGTTGGTACAAGCATTGGTAAGTTGTACCTTCAGTACTGGGACATCTGGCTGGGTTGGGTAGGCAAAGGAGACATCTTGGAACTGGACATGACCTCCCAGGTTTAAGGGAGCCAAAGGACCACTGGCTGGGCAGCAAGGGATCCGGTCCAGGTACTCAAATATTTTCTCTGAGGAGCCCACAGCCTTCTGAATACTTGGATAGGTGGAGAGCAAAACCTGGAGGGGAGGTATGAATAATGAGAAGGAGGTTGGGGGGCGGATAAAAAACCTCACTGCCGTAGAGTCATTTCCAACTCATAGTGACCCCCTGGGGTTTCTGAGGCTGTAAATCTTTATGGAAGTAGATCACCCCATCTTCCTTTCACGGAGTGGCTGGTGGGTTTGAACCACTGACTTTCTGGTTATCAGTCAAGTGCCTTATCCACTTATCTACACCACCAGAGCTCCCTGACAAGGAGGTGAGGAGATGTAATCTGCTCACCAAAGTTAAGTGATATAAGAAGGATAAAGAATGGAAGGGACACATATGGTAATAAGGTGGGAGAAGGGAAAATATTGGGGATTGAAAATGGAGGAAGCTCACCTGAATGGCTGTCGTGAACTGGATCTGGTACAGAACAAATGCAACAAGGTTCCCACTGCTTACAGCCCTACTTGCCACTAGCTGAGCACCGATGTACAGGATTCCCACCTTCAGCAACATCCCTGAGATCTGCAAAAAGGCCACAGAGAAAGGGGATTATGGGAGCAAGATATAAAGAGGGGACATAAACAACCAGAGTCCTTAGCAACGGGAAGATATAAAGTCCTCTTCCCTCAAGTAATAGCAGCCAACTCAATAGGTAGAAAGGAAGCATGAATCAGAGAGAGCCCATGGAGTCTGGTTCAAATACTCATCATGGAAGTCATCATCACCATCACCATCACCATAATCACGTTAGGTAGCATTTTACTCTTGACAAAAAGCTTTCATAAACATAATGTCATTTAATATTCTTATCAAGAGCCCTATAGAGAAGGCCACTGTCATCCCCATTCTTAAAGTGAGGAAACAGCCTCAGAGAAGGTACGTTACCTGCCTGTGGCCCCAGGGCTAGCAAATGGCAACATCAAGACAGGAACTTTTGATTACTGGTCTAGTTCTCTTTCCATTACATCACAGGTGCCCTTCATCCCTGGATTCCACTATTCCCCTGGCTCTAACTAGCACATTCACACCATCCCAGCATGAAGTGGGTCCAGGTACAGGAATTTATAGCTCCCTGAGCTTTCCCTGAGAGGCAAAGGAAGGCCCAAGAACTAAAAGACACAGCAACCCCCTAAAAAGGCGGCAGAGAGAAATTTGTATACCATAGTGAAAAGGAGCTCTGGTGGTGTAGTGCCTAAGGCATTTGACTGCTAACCAGAAGGTTGGTGGTTCAAATTCACCAGCCACTCTGTGGAAGGAAGATGGGGCAATCTACTTCCATAAAGATTTACCTCCTTGGAAAATCAATGGTGAATGCTATGAGTTGGAATTCACTCAATGGCAGCGAGTTTGGTTTTGGTTTGAGTGAAAAGAAGTCATCTAGAATCCTTACAAAGAGGGATGGGCTTAAGGACATTCAGTCAAGTAACTGACCCTTGGGCTGTGAATGAGAACACTGAACCAACCATTTCCCAGTAGGGGAGGAGTTAGGAGCAAGGTAATGGGAAGGGAAAGGGAATGGAGTTGAGGCATCTCTGGGAAAAGGGAATGGGCTTCCATCCCCAGGTGCTCACACTGGAGGTCCACATGTTGACTGCATAGGCCACTGCCTGCTGCTTACTGAGTGTCTTCATTTCCTGCAGCTTTTGCCTAAACTTCTGTTTCTCACCCTCCTCGTTGGCAAAGCTCCGGACTGTAGGCATAGCTGACAGGGCCTCGATGGCCACCTGGCTAGATGCTGCCAGAGCTTCCTGCATACGTACTGCCAGCAACTGTGGATACATGGAAAAGAGATGTCTCACATGAGATTAGAAAGCCCTAAGGGACACAAGTTATTGAGTAACCTAGTTGGAGATTAAAAGTAAGAAGAGGCAGAGAGGCAAGTGAGAAAAGACTAGGGCACAGGCATACTCCCTTGAAACTAGATAGATACAAGGTAGAGGTAATAAGTCAGAAGGGGCTGGAGGTCATATTCTTAAAGACACATTGTGGGAAGAAATTAGACGAGAAGACAAGGAGACTATGAAGATCAACAATGAGCAATCTGAGAACACAGACTGCAGAGACAAGGAGTTCTATGAAAATGGAGAATCAGTGAGGGTATCAGGAACGTTGTACTGAAGGAAATCTGAGAGAAACTGAATCTTTCAAGTCTGGAAGACAAAGGGTCCACATAAGTTGAGCCAACATACCTCGGACCATTTTCCCAGCTTCTTAGGCAGAAGGAAAAGCAGAGGCAGGGTGACGAGGGTGGCCATGGTAAGGGACAGTGATCCCCAGAGCATGAGCCCTAAGAGACACAGCCCCCGTACCAGGTACCACATCAACAGGTTCAATTTGTCACTCAGAGACTCACTCAGGGTGGATGTGTCCTCTGTTACCCGAGACGTGATAGCACCTGCCAGAGGTTGGGGAGAGGAGCGTGGAATGAATAAGATGGGTTCAGAGTGATGAGGTGGACTAATATTGATCTAGGGTGCCAGAAGTAGGGATGTTCACATGGTGTTTTAAGAGGCTGGGGCAAATAAGGTCATATGAGTGTATGGGAACATTTGGGAATCTCAATGCAGGAAGAAATGAGCATTAGAACTAAGAAGCCTGGCTAAAGACCTTCATTTTAACTGTGAGGAATTTGATGCCTATGTGGATTTCTATTTTTCTGAAAGTTTTCTGTTCCTTAAAGAATTTGTACATCTCATTGTATACACATAGGAAGAAAGGGTTTAAGCTGGTGGTATAATAGAGATGGAAGGTAAGAGACAGTGCCTGTAACTAGCATTGCCCTGGGAATCAAGAGACTGAGGTTCTTCCCCCAAGCTTCTCTCAATCTATCAGGTGACCATGCAATTTTCAGCATTTTGGGGCTAGGCCTCAGTTTCGTTCTCTGAAAATTAGGCATTAGGACTCCATGATCTCAAAATTTCCATGTTGGAAATTTCATAGTTTTAATTTAAGGATATATATAGGGATAGATTTATGGAAAAACTACATTTTATGGAAGGTAAAAAGAGCAAATTTTGTTCAGACTGGAGATATACCAAAAATAAGAAATAGTTCTGGTAGCGTAGTGCCTAAGGCATCTGACTACTAACCAGAAGGCTGGCGATTCAAACCCACCAGCTACTCCTCGGAAGGAAGGTTGGACAATCTACTTCTGTAGTGATATCGCCTCAGAAACCCAAGGAGGGGTTGCTGTGAGTCAGATCCGACTCGACAGCAGTGGTTTTTTTTTTTTTTTTTTTTGGTTATGTGTGTATAAAAGAGAAAAATCAAAATTATAAATAAAGGAGGATGTAGGGGATATAAAGACTATATGAATCTATAATGAAAGAGTTAGAAACCTGTTTGGTTCTGTTGGAAAAACTCTGTCTCTTGGCGAAGGACAGCCTGAAACACGTCTCCCTGCAAGCGACTATGCATGTGGCCCATGGCACTGTTATACATCCCATCACCCAGGAACTCCAGCACTGCACTAGAGAGCGACAGGGAGAAAAAGGATCAAGGTGAGTTTTGGGGGAATGGAGAATGAAGGTGCCAGATATTCCCACAAAAGTGGAGTTTGGAGCACAACCCCAACAACTTCCAACTCCTTTTTTATGTAGGGTGTGCCAATCTCAGCCTTCCATCCCCAGCCCCCAGACCTGGCTATGATGAGAATGGACATGATAGTTATGTTTTGGGTGAAGGTAGCAGATGCCCCATCTTGTAGAACCCAGTCAGCGAGGCGGCCAGTGAAGAATGGAATGGCCATCTCCCCTGGGGAAGGAGAGGAGAACTTCATCAGTAACAAATACTAAGTCTAAGCAGAACACCAACAACCAGACTGCCTTTCACCACTTCCGTTTCCACCCTAGCCATTATCCTTGAGGGCAGGGGGAGAAAGAAGATACTGGGGCCAAGATTCCACACCTGAATAGGCCACCCTGGAACTCATAACCCAAAACTTTTCAGGGGTTTAATTAGGAAGCCTTGAGATCATGGGATAAAATAGCCTCGTATTAAGAGATGAAGATGCTGCTACCCCAGAGGAAAAGATTTGCCCAAGGTAGCCCAGCTAAATAAAGTCTGGGGCAGGGCTGCCGTCCACGACTCCTCTCCCCAACCCAGTCCGGTGCTTTTTCCTCTACACCGCAGTGTTCTCCTTAAGACCCCATCTGGTCGCCTTCTGCCTAATCCTCATTTCCCAGAACCGACATTACCCTGCCTCACTGACCATTACCCTTGATTCCTGCCCAGTCCCCTTGTGTCCTACTCTCCACCCCTTACCAAGACAGGACAAGATCAACAGGACCAAAACAAGAGGGTATCGGCGTATCTCCGGGCCTATGCAGCGGAGTAGTCGATTCACCGCGTATGCAGAGCTCCCCTGGCCCCCTGGCACCCAAAGGTTCTCGAGTTTGTGCCATAGGAATGCTGCGAGAAGCGCCGCTGCATAGCTAAGGACGAAGGCGTCGGAGCGACTTGCCCAAAGCAGCAGGCTGGTACTGTCAGTGTTTCTGAGGCCGCCCCACGAAGCCAGCTCTCTGAACAAGGCAAGTCCCGGCAAGGCCAAGCCCAGCGTCGCCGCCAGGGGCTCCAAAGCAAGCAGCCAACCCTGGCCTCGTGAGCTTTCGCTCTTGAAGTCAGCCATGGCCCTGAGGACCCCGCGGGCCCCCAGCCACAGCACGGCCCCGCGGCCCAGTCCCACCGCCCAGACCCGGAGCAGCGGCAGCGCCGTGGGTACCAGCAGGAAGAATACCACGGGCAGCGCGAGCCGAAGCAGCACCCAGTCCACAAGAAGAAGCAGCGTCACCCCCAGCCACACTCCCCAAGTTCGGGGGAAGCAGAGGCACCCGCAGGGAGCGCGGGACCATGAGCTGGCCATTGGCGCGCGGGTGCTGTCCCGGGTCCTGTCCCGGCTTGGACTCTGCTGGGTTGAATTCTGCGTATGGCGGGCGTTGTGACCCAGTCGGGGCCGAGACTGCGGGCTGGAGAAGCGAGTAGGGCCAGACGGGGGCGGAGCTCCCGGAAAACCCCGCGGACCTGCTGAGCGTGGGACCGCTGGCAAGAAGAGCAGCCTTTTAGAGGAAAGAGAAATCGAAAGCGGCTGCTGGTTCGCTTGGTCCGCCCACTTCCAAACGTGGCCAGCCCAGACTATTTGGGGATCTTGCGTTTAAATGAGTTAAGAGGTTCTGGGGAGCAGCCCTAATGCCCTACCTTCACGCATACTCTTCCCTCCTCTCTCTGCTTCTCCAGCTGGGTCCCTTGGACAGTCCTTTCCCACCCCCGCTTCAGGGCTGAGCTTTTCCGTCACCTGTCTCCGGGCAGATCTACTCCGAACAGCGTTGCAGCTCTAAACCGTCACAGAAGACACGGGCGCCCCCTGACGGGCATGAGGAAGGGGCGGGGCTGTAGGCAGCACGCCGCGCGCTGTCTCAGGTCAGAAACCAGAGGCAAAGTCAGCGAAGAGCGCGATTATCTGGACAGGATGTTGAGCGCAGGAGCACCGTCCGGGGACCTTCCTCGGGCCGGAGAAATCCACACTGGGGTAATGGGTCTGGGCTTGAGGGCCAACGGAGGGATGGAGAAGGTGGATCGGCAGGGCGACCCTGAAAACGCCAAAGAAGGAATGTGAAGACTAACAAAATTGTGGAGAGATGGCTTGTAGCAGCAGTGCTTGCACCCTGCAATTATCATAAGGCATCTCTACTCCGAAGGTGGTCATCTGGGGGCCGCAAAGGGACGGAGCTCGTGGAAATGGGGGTTCTTTGGCTCTTAGTTGGAACCGTCAGGGGGAAGCTGCTCTAAAGCGCTTTTGCTTTCAGTTTTGTCTGTTCAGGGGGCCTGGTTCAATCAAAAAAGGAATGGAACTGGTGCAAAGAAATGAGGAAATGGTGCTTTGAGAGGTGGTTGTTGTTGTTATGTGCCAACGAGTTGGATCCGACTCATAGCGACCCCTCCTTGGGTTCGGAGGCAGTATCACTACGGAAGTAGATTGCCCTATCTGCCTTCCGAGGAGTGGCTGGTGGGTTTGAACCGCCAGCCTTGTGGTTAGCAGTCAAGTGCCTTTAGGCACTATGCTACCAGAGCTCCTGCTTTGAGAGGAGTAGAGCAATATTTGGGAGAAGGGAATATGGGCAATGACTGAGAAGGGCCAATATCAAAGGAGCTTTGATAACTGGCCCCTGAGTAACCCATAGCTGGAGCAGTGATAATGGCGGCTTCTGTGTGAGCCAGAGTGGTGCCCTTCCATGGCTTGATGCAGGAAGGTTCCTGCTTGCCCCAGGTGCTGCCACGTTTCCCTTCCCTGTGTCTTCTTTGTCCACTCCTACATGCTCGTTGGGGCACTTTGCCCAGGCAGGGTGCCTAGGACATATAGCAGCCCCAAGGCCGGAAAGCTTCTGCTCCCAGACTCTACTCTTGGCCACTAACTACTCTTGGTTTGGAAGCAGATCTATTTAAAGTAATAACCTCTAGGATGGCGTTGCTTTTGTCCCCGGCACCTCTATTGATGGTAAATCTCTACACAGAAAGTACATTTAGGTCCGTATTCCTGAAGGCCAGAGTAACTATTGGCTGGTGAATAAAGTAGCAGATTAGCCATTAGCAAGTTAGAAAATCTCCCCTCACTGCCAAATGAGCAGTTAAAGGCAGGAAGAGGACATCAGGACAAGCACGGGTGTTAGACCTGCGTTTCAGTCACAAGCTCTGTTATTGATTCTGCATAACCCTGAATAAGTCATGCCTTCTCTATGACTCAGTTTCCTTATTTGAACCAAATCTTTAAGGCTCCTTCCAACTCAACAGAAGTAGAGCAAGGGTAACTTTATCCTCTTTTACTTTTCCTTCATTCTTTTCTTGACCTGGAAATGTCAACTCAAATTCCCCAGTCATAGTCTTTCATGGTGCAGGCCTCTTCCTCCAGCTACTTAAGAAAGCTACTTATCTCCTGATCAGAAACTCCTTAAAAGAAACTTTTATTTTAAATCGTCTCATGTTCTTGCTGCTTTCTTCCTTCCCTGGAAGGAGCTTTGGTGGTGCAGTGCCTAAGGCATTTGACTGCTAACCAGAAGGTTGGCTGTTCAAACCTACCAGCCACTCCACAAAAGGAACTCCAGGCAATCTACTTCCTTAATTATTTACCACCTCGGAAACCCAATGGGGGTCACTATGAGTCAGAATTGACTCGATGGCAGTGGGTTTAATCAATGGTCAATGCTTTCCATTGTTCAATAAACAAAGTGCTCTCTCCTGACTAAGAGGGATTGGGGGTAGATGATTTGAGGCCCAGAAAACATGACCTGTTTCTCAAATTCATAGTAACTTACTCTGTGTTCACTCTGTACCACATCTACACACACTGAAGCACTCAACAAGTGTGTGCAGTGGAGATGATTTACTTGTGTGGCTACTTCACATATGCTCATTGGAGCCCTTTCCTCAAAGGAAGTACTTCTGCCTCTAGAAGTCTCATTCCTGCCTCTCTCTTTAGCGTGAAAAGGATTCCACTTAGGTATGTTGAGGCTTGAGGATGCAGTTCTTTCTGGGTTGCACCATGGCTAGGCTGTGACATTCCCTTGCAGCCAGATGAGATAATAGAAAACATATAAATGGGGGGTAGATGGGGCTCTGCACAGGGAGTCAGCTCTGCTTGAATTATTTTATGACCTTGAAGTAGTCAGTTTCCCTCACTGGGAAATTTCCTCGTCCCCTGCAGGGATCAAGGCTCTATCTACTCTGACATTCCACTCTATATGTCTCTGCAGACAACCATCATGGCAGTGGAGTTTGATGGAGGTGTCGTTGTGGGTTCTGATTCCCGAGTATCTGCAGGGTGAGTACCAGTAAAGGTGAATGGATTTGAAAGGAAGCTAATGGCCCCAACTATGCTTTAGAAAAATAAAAATAAAATAAAATAAAACTTACTCATGAAAAGATTGCTGGACTGGAACTTTGGGGAAAATGGAGTTGACCTTTCAGAAAGAAAAGGCCACAATCGTAAGATAATTGGGTGGGTGCTTGGGTCTCAATTCATGGAGCAGGATCTGGGCTCTGATTGCTGATGTAACCTATCCTGGAAGTGAGCAGGGATTAATATAAAGGAATAGGGTCTGAAAGGGTAATAGGAATGTCCTTCGTTCCATCTGAGTTTAGGGATAGAAGAGAGTTCTGCCAAGCTGATATTCTGGTTTCTCATTTATCACATGTTGAACTAATTTGATTCTCTCCGACACGTGATCATGGTTTCTTCACATGAAAATGAGTACATAGGATTAGATCGATATTACCTACGTTATATTACATAGAGCACGAAATGCCCTCAAAATGGTTAATGGCAAAGAAATGTTGATAAGAGGAATGTCTTTCCTAACTTAACTAAGTAGTTTTTGTTTTGTTATAAAATTTATCCTGAAAATAAATCTAATTTTCATTAGTACTTCCAATGATTCATCATTCATCATTAATCATTTTTTTTTTCCTTCTGCTTTAATTGAAGCATTAAATTTCACACATTCTGTATCTGTTTTCTTGTCAAAGAGACTTGACAACTACTGGGTAGTTAACCTCAAAAGTTTCTGCCAACTCTAATGCTGATGACTGTTTACTCCCTCCTTGCAGAGAGGCGGTGGTGAACCGAGTCTTTGATAAGCTGGCTCCCCTACACCATCACATCTACTGTGCACTCTCTGGTTCAGCTGCTGATGCTCAGGCCGTGGCAGACATGGCTGCCTACCAGCTGGAGCTCCATGGGTATGCATCTTTACTGGCACTGGGTCCCTGACACCATACCTGCTGGAGCTCCCCTAACCTGTGAACCCCCATATAGTGTTCTGTTCCAAGAGCACTGAATTGAGAAGTGAACATTTTTTGTTTTGGTTCCAGCTTTTATTAGCTTTGAACTAGCATCTGAATCTCTCTAAATCAGTTGGCGCGTTCTGGTGGTGTAGTACCTAAGGCATTTGACTGCTAACCAGAAGGCTGGCAGTTCAAACACACCAGCCACTCCTCTGAAGGAAGACTGGGCAATCTACTTCCATAGAGATATGGCTCCCATAATACCCAGGGCATTTCTTGGGTGTTTGAGTAATTGTGTTAAAGAAACATGATTATTTTGAGAATCAAATTATGTATGTGAAAGCAGTTTGAAAACTCTACATTGCTAACTAATACAAATAATGAGGAAGAAAATGATGGTGTGGCCCTATCTTAATATCAGGGAAAGTTCTTTCCAGCTGCTGTGAAATCAACTCCAATAGTGGTGATCCCATATGAGTTAGAGTAGACAGTGCTTCATAAGATTTTCAAGTCTGTGATCTTTCAGAATCACCAGGCCTTTCTTCCAAGGAACCTCTGAATGGGTTCCAACCACCAGCCTTTCAGCTAGTAATCGGAGCGTGTTTAACCATTTGTACTATCCAGGCAAAGTTGCTGTATGCGAAATCAAGGTTATTTGGGCAGAAGCAAGGCTTATCTGGTTTTAACCCACAAGGGCAGGGTCCTCGCAGACAAAGAGATAACTCTTTGTGATTAGAGAGTGGGAGTGGACAATTGAAAGTTGTTATTAATTGGTGGAATGAAACTTAAACTGGAGTTTGAACTACAGAGCTATAGGTTTAGGTTTCAGGTGCCATTTGGCAGGATGGTAGTGATGGCACAGGAGGTTGGACTTGAAATGTTATCAACTTCTGTTCCTAACAATTCCTTCAGGATGGAACTGGAAGAACCGCCCCTTGTTCTGGCAGCTGCAAACGTGGTGAGAAATATCTCCTATAAATATCGAGAGGACCTGTCTGCACATCTCATGGTAGCTGGCTGGGACCAACACGAAGGGGGACAAGTGAGTCCCTCTCAACCCATTCCCTCTCTTGGGGTTCCTCACTTCCCTCTAGAGGGAGATGGAGGTCATGTGTCATTCTAACAAGGAGTCCCAAAGACAATGCTCCTAAAAGCATAGTACAGAGTCTGAGTTGTTGAGGTATGAGATACTAGGTCTTCATTGCAGAGTGGAAGGCTACCTGGTTGTCTCAGTGAGAAGATTCTGACCTGAGCATGGCCTCCCCTAGGTATATGGAACTCTGGGAGGAATGCTGACTCGACAGCCCTTTGCCATTGGTGGCTCTGGCAGCACCTATATCTACGGCTATGTGGATGCAGCATATAAACCAGGCATGTCCCCTGAGGAGTGCAGGCGCTTCACCACAGATGGTAAATGACCAAGTGGAAGGAAACCTGGGTGGGTTTTCTTTAAACACAGGGAGGAAATGAATGATGAGGTTCAGGAAGAGGGTAATGATTTAATTTAATATTCCAACTGGTTTACTTTTGAGATTAGAAGCAGGCAAGACAAATGCTAAGCTAGATGGGACTTCAGGAAAATAGGCAAAATTCAGGATTGTCCTGAGTAAGCAAATTAGGATGTGAGAACCAGTAATGTGCTGGTTATTAAACTTGATAACTTGAAGTCGAGCATGGTGGAAGTCTTTATACCATGGACGTTGGAAGATGCTACAAATTGCAGCTTTCTGTTTTAGCTGGTTTACCAGCACATGACTAAATATGCACCTCTGAGAGATGGATTTTGAGGTCTGAAAGTGGTAGTACACATGATATGGACAAGAGGGGAAGGAAAAGATTTTGAAAGCTAAAGCCATTCTCTCTCCCTCTCCCCAACTTGAAACTCTCTGCAGCTATCGCTCTGGCCATGAGCCGGGATGGCTCTAGTGGGGGTGTCATCTACCTGGTCACTATCACAGCTGCTGGTGTGGATCATCAAGTAATCCTGGGCAACGCTCTGCCAAAATTCTATGATGAATGAATCTTCCTCAGACTTCCCTTCTTCATTTTGTAAAAAAAAAAAAAAAAAAAACCACCTCTCTGGAACCAGAACCTGGTATGGTCAACTGAAAATGAGTGCTCAGGGAGATGGAGCCTAGAGGAAGAGGGCTTCTTCCCACCCAGATGCCAGCCCATTCTCCTTATTCTTTTGCTGCCAGGTCTAAATTATCTTTCCCAGAGGAAATTGGGGGAACTACGCTAGAATTAGAAAGAGTCCTATACATGACAGGTCATCATGTACTGAGCAAGTTGAAATGTTAGAAGCAATAAATCTCCCATTTTGATGCCTGAGGGACAAGGGTGCAAGTGAAGAGTTGGACTCATTTCTTTACTGCTAAGACTGATGAGCAGATAAGACAACAAAACTTAGAGCTAAGAGCACCAGCAAACTCATATGTAAAATAATTCCTTTCATAACGCATTCCTTCATATTAAAGATCAGTACATGATAAATGCCTAAATATTTGGGGGCACTTATGAATTTCAAATAGTAATAACAGTAACAGTGACAAAAAGCTACATTCATTGTCAGGCACTGGCTTTATAAAGGTTATCTCTTTGAACCCAAAGACAAAACTCTATGTAGGTACTATTATTGCTTGTATTTAAGGACAAATGGAGGCTTAGAAAGATTAAGTTACTTGACCAAGATCACACAGCAAGTTCAGAAGCTGGGATCTAGTTTTGCCACATGCCCTTCCTCTTGTTGTTATTAGTTGCCATTAAGTCGATTCCGACCCATGGCGACCCCATGTGTGTCAGAGTAGATTGCTCCACAGGGTTTTTAAGACTGCTACCTTGAGGAAACAGATCACCAGGCTTGTTTCTGAGGCATCCCTAGGTGACTTTGAACTGCCAACCATTTGGCTGGTAGAAAAACACTTAACGGTTTACACCACCCAGGGTATAAACACTTCCCCTACCACTATATAAAGCCTCTCATTTCCTCCAACTCCATATATCACCTGCCCCTTGGAATCTGCACTAATTAGCACAGGGTACTCCAACACAGACGTCTCTGACCTGAAGAGAACTGACTCAGAACTTAAAAGCAGTACTCCACACTCGGGGCCTTGAAACAACCATCCCATGTTACCTTTTACCCTTTCATGTGGATGAGTCTTGACTCCCAATCAGATTGTGTGTGTGAAGAGGCTCCCATGATGCCCAGCACATTCCTTGGCACTTAGAAAATTGTTCCCAGATACTTGAGTAATTGTATTAAATAAAGCTGAGTTCTGGTCCTACCTTTGTCATGCCCTGGCTGAGTGATAGAACAAATTATTCCCCTTCTGTGAGCCCTCATTTCACTTTCTGTTAAATGAACCTATTGAGTGATTTCTAAGGTGATTTACAGGTCTGACACTTAATGCTGTTTTGATCAGAAGTGAGCAGTGAAGAGCTATATTCAACAGAAATACAGTAGCTTCTCTCTGCTTTTCTTTCTGGATCTCCAGCTAAACAGACAAATCCAAAGTTTGTTTTTTTGGGGAAAAATCTAAAATTACTAGCACCTCAAGATTTTTGCTAGCTGTGATTTTTAATTTATTTTGAAATTAAAAATAATTGTTTGAGCCTATCTTTCCTACTGATGACAACTAGAATCTCTGGACAGAACTCAAAAAGCAAGTACTTGAGGGCTCGGGAAAAGTAAACAAAAGCAGGTGCCTCGTGAAGAGAGTCAAAACCTGGAAAGGTAGCCCTGGAGCGGGAGTAAATGTATGTCCTGTCACAGGTTTGCCTTGAAGTTAGCCCTCGGTTGCAGAGCTGCACTGCAGCGGCAGTGCTATATTGCCAAGAGAAAAACCATCTTTCTGGTCAGAGGAATTGAGAAAAGGGACCCCTGTGGGCAGAAGAGTGGGAGGAGGGAATCTCCTAAAGGGGAGAGGTAAAGATGGGGATCCCCTAATTCTATGCATTAACCCTCATGAGTCACCCCTGAGCTGCACACTCATGGGACAAACCCTAAGCAGCACAGCAAAGACTTTGAGGACTAAAGATTTAAATCTTTTACAATTGTTGCTGTTGCTATGTGCCATCCAGTAGGACCTGAGTCATAGTGACCCCTCCTTGGGTTTCTGAGGTGGTATCACTACGGAAGTAGATTGCCCAAACTTCCTTCTGAGGAGTGGCTGGTGGGTTTGAACCACCAGCCTTCTGGTTAGCAGTCAAGTGCCTTAGGCACTATGCCACCAGAGCTCCTTCCTGACTTCTAGCCTCCTAAAATGTGAGAAAATAAATTTCTGTTTGTAAAAGCCATCTAATTATGATATTTCTTGTTATAGCAACACTAGATAACTCAAGACAGTTATTTAAAAATAAATAAATTGAGAAGGGACAGATTCCAAGATAGAGTGCTGAGAGAGATATACAGATACATATGGGAACCTAATGTACAATACCACCACTCATCTATTAGTTTGTCATTCTGTGGTGGCTTGTGTGTTGCTGAGAAACTGGAGGCTGTGCCACCAGTATTTCAAATACCAGCAGGGTCATCCATGGTGGACAGGTTTCGGCAGAGCTTCCAGACTAAGACAGAATCAGAAGAAAGAAGGGGCCATCCACTTCTCAAAGTATTGGCTATTGAAAACCTTGTGAATAGCAGGGAAACACAGTCTGATATATTACTGGAAAATTTTATGAATAGCCCTGAAACATTGATATAGTGCCAGAAGAGGAGCACCTCAGGTCAGAAGGCATTCAAAATACGGCTAGGGAAGAGCTGCCTCCTTAAAGTAGAATTGACCTTAATGACGTGGATGGAGTAAAGCTTTCAAGACCTCCATTTGCTGATGTGGCACAACTCAAAATGGGAGAAACCAACTGCAAGCACCCATTAATAATCAGAATATAGAATGTATGAAGTATGAATCTAGGAAAATTGGAAGTTGTCAAAAGTGAAATGGAATGCATAAAGATCAGTATCCTAGGCACCACTGAGCTGTAATAGACTAGTTTTGGCCATTTTGAATCAGACAACTGTATGATCTAATATGCTGAGAATGACAAATTGAAGAGGAATGGTGTGGCATTCATTGTCACAAAGAATGTTTCAAGGTCTATCCTAAAGTACAATGCTGCCAGTGATAGGATAATTCCATATGCCTACAAGGATCAGTTAAAACAACTATTATTCAAATTTATGCAGTAACCACCAAAACCAAAGATAAAGAAATTGAAGATTTTTACCTACTTCTGCACTTTGAAATTGACCAAACATGCAATCAAGATGTATTGATTATTACTAGTGATTGGAATGCAGAAGTTGGAAACAAAGAAGAATCACTAGTAGTGAGAAAATATGGCCTTGGTGATAGAAATGATGCCAGAGATCGCATGACAGAATTTTTCAAAACCAATTACTTTTTCATTGCAAATATCTTTTTTCAACAACATAAATGGTGGCTATATAGACCTTGTCAGATGAAATACACAGGAATCAGATCAACTACATCTGTGGAAAGAGGCAATGAAGAACTCAATATCTTCAGGCAAAACAAGGCCAGGAGCTGACTGTGGAATAGATCATCAATTGTTCATGTGCAAG